GGACCGGCAACGGGATCGCAACCCTCGGCGCTGCGCCCGCCCCTCACTCAGCCAGTGAGCGGGAACCGGTCTGTATGTGGGATCCGAACCCTTGGCGGGAGCGCCGCCACACTTCCCAAGCGGCGCACTGTAGCAGTGCGCCACCAGGCCGGCCCCGTAGCCTTTCTTCTTTGAAATTCAATTATTAGAACTTTCAGCAAGGAGAGACTTAGAGATTGCAAAAAGTGTGACCTTTATCAGGTTGTGTGATCATTTTCAGAATATCAGATGGCTGTTGGATGGCTCCAGCTGTGAGCAGTGGGTTATGTTGTTGTGCCTTTGTTTCAGGTCTCTCAGGCAGCAGCAGAGCTTCAACAGTACTGCATGCAGAATGCCTGCAAGGATGCCCTGCTGGTCGGTGTTCCAGCCGGAAGCAACCCCTTCCGGGAGCCTAGATCCTGTGCTTTATTCTGAAAACTGGTGAGTAATGATATACCATGCTGTTTTGGGGCCACGGCATTATTACAGGGCTTCCCAAAGGATTATGACAACTGAGATTTAAATATCTACTATTCTTGGGGTAATTAAAATAAAAGACCAGCAAAATGCACAACTTTGCCTGGCAAGTGACTGTAGTCTATGTTACCCTGCCTGTAGAATACATCTAATTAGGAGAGTCTTGATTCTCTTTGGCACTGACTCATGAGATTCTAATATGCTTGAGCTCTTTGATTGAGTTGGCTGGTAGTAATTTCTTGACCTTAATTCCACCCTCTCTGTCCTACATCATCCCAGAGTTGTGAATTGCTACCTGGAGCTATCAATTGACTTACAACTCCTGGGACTAAGAACTCCCCAGAGTGGCAGACTTGTGCCTACCACCAGCTATGATATCTTTTCTAAAGGCTTTCAGAATTTATCTCTGTGTTTTAAAGGAAGAAGAAATGTAGCTACTGGAGAAAAAGTGTGAGGAGGGTTAAAAGAGCTTTAAAAATTGATAACTGAAATGAAAACACCTCTGTGGTGGCATACTGGAAATTTCATGGTTTCGAATGTTTTGTGTTGGGGTCTTTCATTTTCACTATTTTTTTTAAAGAGTTCCAGGGTGTAGATTATTAGTCTTTTGGGACCAACATATTTTAAATTATATCTTCTAAGTGGTATTTATAGTAAGTAATCATCTTAGGTCCTTTTACACAGACTTGCAAAAGTAAACTGTTCACATTTGAAAGAAGGAAGTAATCCTACTATCAGGTATAATCATACCTTTTAATAGAAAATGTCCACATTTAGGGCATTAAAATAATAGTTTTGTGCTGGCGTAGCATTTCTCTTTTTACAAAGCACTTTCATGGGTGCTACTCATTCAGTGGTGTCGTTTGGATGTTTTTGTATTAACCTGTTATTTTATGAATAAATCTTAATAAAGTGAAAACCAACCAAACTCTCTTTTCAGTAGGGAAGAAGTTCGCTGAGGAATGCCTTTCAGCACAAAGTGGTGAATGACTGCCTCCAA